TAGATGACTTGAGGTCCACTACTGTGCAATTTAAAAGAAATTTTCTTCCTTGCACAACGTCCTGTGGAATCGACTACCACCAGAGATTTTTCCGGACCGATAAGACATAGGGACCTTCAAAAAAAAAGAGCCTAATCATTTTTAAAAGGCCGACAACGCATCTGCAATTCCCCTGGTGTTACAGTTGTTCATGGGCGAGGGTAATGACTTATCATCAGTTGAGCCGTAGGCTCGTTTGCCCCCTCTCCTAAAAAAAAAACTACCGCTCGGGCGATTTTTTGCGTACACAACTTTGATTAATACATAATTCACTGTTCATTTAAAATTTCTAGTTCGCGCTTATGGAAACCGTGACAACTGCAATTCTGGATAGATTCCCTAATTTCCGGCAGAACAAAGTGTGGGTTGTTCTGGTTGTCGCAGTATTTGGATATATCGGCGGGCTTATATTTACCACCAATGTAAGTGACCTTAATCTCTTTTTGTTTTTAAATAGATATTATAAGATTATAACTTCTTATATGCATTTTAATACACCAACAACAATAATAAAATACAATTAAAATATTCAGTTTTTGTAAATTAAGTATAAACTTTTAAACGTTTTTGTAAATTGTTAAAGACAAAAAATCGAATAAATTATGTATTTCAGCGTTGCTTGATTTTTTTTTCGGGATTTTGAGTGAAAAAGCGAGATTCTTTTGTCGGAAGCGGGACAGTAAAAAAAAACAATCAGTTTTTTTATAGTTTACTACTTAACCTTGTATTTGAATATGAATTTTACGAAAATACGTTACTTTACCACTGCACCGTCAAGAAGTTCTCAAAAAGCAGGACAGAATCTCTCCCGCGCGAGATATTTAATTTCTGCCTAAAATTAGGTACCTCTCGCCAAAATCGGGACGTCTGGCATCACTGTAAACTTCTTCTTTCTGTCTTATATCAAATTAAAACCTTAACATTACTTTTATCTTTAAATTTTAAGGCGGCGCGGTGTAGTTGAAATGATGTTTTCAGAGTGGAATGTACTGGCTGCAGCTGATGGACAAATACGCGGCTAACTGGTCGGTGCTAATAATTGCGATCGGCGAGTGCATACTGATAGCTTGGATTTACGGCGCGGAAAAATTTTGTGGAGATATACAACGCATGATTGGCCGCCAGTCCAAGCTCTGGGTATTCTTTTGGAGCACAATGTGGCGTATTATTACACCCGCTGCTCTAGTGGTAATGATATAGATTTTCAAATTGATTAATTTAAATGTAATTGTTTGAAATCGGTGTAGGTAAAATATGAAAATTGTATACAATGTGTACTGCTATTTGCCGTGGTATTTCAGGTGCTCAGCGGTCGCTGTAAATTTCACAGTACGCGAGCAACCCTGGTTCGATCCCCTCCAACACCAATGAAATTGTTAATCGCAATTTTAAATGCTGATTTACCAAGTGCTTGGCGATGAAGGAAAACATCGTGTGGATATCTAAGTACGCCAACACTCATTGGGGCGGCGCGGTGGACATTCCTTACCCTGAAACCCTCTCAGAAATGAGAGGAGGTCTGTGGACAGCGGTGGAATGTATATAGGCTGTAACTTTAGAACAACATTATAAGTATGCAGAGGCAGTGCTAACTGATAGTAATGTTGTAAAATGAATTTATTTAAAATTTATTCATAATTGAAATTTTTATAAATATCAAACAAACTAAAATACCAAGTTGTAAAACAAACTGTAAATTATAGAGAAGTGTTCAATCATATTCATAACGCTCAGTAAAAGTGTCAACGTAGCGCGGTTCCATTCGACGCGGGTGCGTGGTGACGAGATCTTCGAGTGTTACATTGTGTTATGTTACATGGTGGTTTGTTCACAATACATTAATGAAACACAAACACACGCACGCACTCACGCACGCACGCACACACGCACGCAATCACGCACGCACACACTTACGCACGCACCCACGCACGCACGCACTCTCTCTCTCTCTCTCCCTCTCTCTCTCTCACACACACACAAACACACACACACACACACACACGCGCGCGCGCGCGCCAACACTACATGTACCTATGCTCAAATATCAAAACATCGCAAAAGTTCGTCCTCCCTCCTCACTGAGCGGTTCAGTTCTAGGATCACCAACAAAATAATATCCTCCTACCTGTTTTCTCCAATGTGCTGGAGTGCACCTACAGTTGTTCAAAGGCTAAAAGGACATGTTTACTGCCACTCGAGCGTCATTATTTCCCACCGATTGTCAGTTCTTAAAGTTATATAGTCGTTTCAAATAACATCTATTGACCTTTGTGCTTAAATAATATAAAAACTAATAGTTGTCAAATCTTTTTTTTTTTCAGTTTATCCTAGTGTTCAACTGGATCGAATATAAGCCGGCGACATACGGTCATTACGTGTATCCTATGTGGGCGGACGCGGTTGGTTGGACGTTGGGGGTTCTACCAGTTGTCGTTGTGGTGCTTATGGCGGTTGATAAGATCTGTAGCGGACCTGATGACCTTACAATAATGGAGGTATGTTGATTCAGCAATGCGGTTCAAAACTAGCAGTGATCACCGAATGGTGAGATGCACACTGAACCTAAAAGTTTACTTGGAGAGGTCGTTTAAGTCAACGCTCCATCCCCTTCGTGCTCTAATCCAAAGCCCCAAAACCTTTCAGCTCGAGTTACAAAATCATTTTCATTGCCTAAAAGACTGCAATACAGTGGACGACATGAATGACAAGCTCGTGGAAACCGTTCATACGGTCGAAGCTAAGTTCTGCAAGACCCGTCGCAGAAAAACCCAAAAACTCTCCAATCACACTTTTAAGATTTTGAGTGCGATTAAGAGGATCTACGGGCTGTTGTATACGTCATCGTTCGAGCTACACGTAAGTGTGAGTAACGAACAATCCAAGAGCAAGTCTTATTTGACATTATTCCGATGACATCCTGGACGCCAGTCTAAGCGAGATTAGAGTGGCTCTCTATCGACTTAAAAATGGCAAGGGCTCGGGCGATGATTGAATTAAGCGGAGCTTCTGAAAGCGGGTGGAAAACCAGTACTTCAAGTTTTTCAGAAGCTCTTTAATTCTGTCCTCCGTGGTGGAATTACTGTGAAGGCGTGGGAGAGGGTGATCTTGTTCTCTACAAAACACTTTCTTGAAGAACTACAGACCGGTTTCTCTTTTGAGCCGCGTCCACGTCCTATTTTCGAGAGTCATTACGAATCGTCTCGCACGCAGACTCGACGACTTCCAACCTTCCGAACAAGCCGGTTTCCGAAAAGGCTTTAGTATATACTACGTATATACATAAACGACTTCGTACATACCCTTCGGCAAAATGTAGAGAACACCGAACAGTACGATCTGCAATTTTGTCTTTCGTACGTGAATTATGAGAAAGCCTTTGAAATTTGGGCAGTGCTACAGTTCCTTCAGTGGTGCCAAGTTGACTGTCAGTATATCAAAGTGCTAAAGTGTTTGTACAGTAGGGCTACGATGGCTATCCTAGTACAGAACTACGTGACTATCCTAGTACGAATCTATACGTGGTCGAGCCATGATGCAGTTACTACTAATAAGTAGTATAGCACGAATGGGTCGCCTCGACCAGGAAAGGACCACGCTCTCACGGAATATCAACGTAAAATAGTAGCTTAATGCTGCTGTGTTTCGTATGGTGAGTGTAGAGAACCGGACACCCTTTTTACTAGAAACGAGGCATTCCATCTTAGTCTTCACGTTAGACAACGTATCTGTATTTTGATTCGTAATCGAGGATAGACGTAGATGTCTATGGGCCACAGCAATCACTTACCATCAAGTAGACTGTGTGCTCGTTTGTCACCCTATCCTATATAAAAAAGAACCAGAGTACGAATTCTATCCAGCAGCAGAGTGGTGTAAGAGTGTAAGACAGGGTGACGTAATATTCCCGCAACTCTTCACCGCTGCACTGGAAGACGTTTTCGAACTAACGAACTGGAAAGTTTACGGTATTAACTTCAGTGGCGTGTAAATCACTCACCTTTGATTTGCCGGCGATATAGTCTTTGTAGTAGAATTGCTGGAGGACCTACTAAGAGCTATGCTCAATGACGTCATTGAGCAATACGTCTCCCTACGGATAGGTCTTAAGATGAACGCGGACAAAACAAAGATCATGTGTAACGTCCATGTCACACCTATGCTGGCAGTTGTTAGGAGAACTAAGTTCGAAGTTGTTAGACCCCCTAGGTAAGTCCAACTTCGACCAAGATGTCAATCCACGGATTTAACTCTGCTGGGCAGCGTTCGGAAGATTACGAGACATCTTCTCGTTAGGCATACCTCAAAAGTTCAAATCAAGATAGTACAACCAGTGCGTATGCGTGCCAGTGATGACCTACGGATCCGAGATGGTATTTCACTACTAGTCGAATAACGAAGCTCAAAGTCTCTTAGCGAGCTATGGAGAGGGTTATTCTGAGGGTAGAAAAGTTTTCGAGTGGCAGCCTCGTACTTGGCAGGCGAAGTGTAAGGCTTTCCCCCACTAGATGGAGTGACGACCTGCTTAGACATGCAGCAAGTCGATGGATGCAGTTGACTCAGGACCGTGCTTGTGGCATTCCTTGGGGAAGGCCTATATTCAGTAGTGGACTTGTGAAGGGCTGTAATGATGATGATTCTCTAAACGTTGTAATAGGATTATAATATGATCTTTCATTACGAGTACAGTAAATCTTGTGTGATAGGCACGTATTAGTCTTGTTGTTGACGATAAAAGACGCGCAAGGGAAGGGCTTGCAGTTGTTGAGGTTGGGATTGAGGATGTAGTGAGCGTGTGGTTGCAGAAGGCGCGCGTGCTGTCGCGGCCCACGGAGGAGTGGGGCCCGGCGGGTGCGTCGGTGCTTGTGCGCGAGCCGCAGCTATCGCCGCCCGTACTGCTGTTGCACGGCCGCCCCGTGCTGCGCGAGCGTGGCGTCTGACCCCACGCGCATCCGCTCCTCGCCATGCGGAAGGTACACCGGCCTCAGGCCCTCTTTGTGCTACATCTACATAATGTTCGAGCTCATTTCCGAAAACCGTTTAATAACTGCTAAACTATGTCATCTTTGAGCTACCTTTGAGCTGTTACAACTCTTATATCTTTAATATTGACTTACTACCAAATAAACTTAAAAATTATTTGCTAAATAATATTATTACTAAGTACCATTCATGGTGCTGGGTCGCGTTTGCCAAAGTAAGGGATGTTTTGAAAAATCCCAAGTTGATCAACCCGTAATATAAAAAGGTTTATACAAGCTGTAATGCCCTCTTCCACTCTCTCACGGTTTGAATTTTTCAAAGCTCTTTCTTATTGGATGCCTACATATCTACATAATAAAGGGAACTTATTGTTCGAATTTCAAACTTTCACGTCCAACGCTTTGGGTTATGCGTCTTTTACAATATTTTTCATAAAAACTTTCCACCCACGTTTAACAATCTTAATTTATGCAAAATTTTAAAATGGATATTTTATAAATAATATATATAGATACTAATAGTTTTACTTATATTTTTTATTTCATCATGGCTATACTCAACTATCGTTTTTCTGATTTATCTCTTCGTACGTGGCGATTTCGCTCAAGAGTATATTTAAAATTTTATTTTTTGCAGGCATCTCATGATGGTGCTGATTCTAATTCAATAACAAGTACAATTGATAATGAAGTCAAGAAAGCGGCGACTGGGCTTAAAACAAAACGTAGTTCTATAAAAAGGAAAATACCAAATTTCAGTCACGAGTCCGACGATACCGTTATTGAACCACTGTTGAGTTCTGAAAAGGACAAAGTTGATAATGCTTCTCAAAGTGCCAAATTTGTAATGTCTAAATCTAAGACTGATTTAACAACCGAAAAAGTTGATCGTAAACTTCTTAAAAGCAAAGTAGAGAAAATTTCACCTACATATTCTACTAGTTTATCAGAGAATATTGTATTTACAAGTACGAAAGACTTGTGTCCGAACATGTGTGTAACAACGCCAATATATAATCATATGAATACGAACGTCTTTGGAGACCTCGATGCTACAAAAATTATACCATCTAAAAGTACAGTTATAGTCGAAATTAATAAAAGCAAATCATCTAGTTATAGCTCTAGTCCATTGATTTTTACTACTGCTAAAATTCATACCGACAATAAAACTAATCATATGGAACCAGTTCAAGTAACACCGATGCCCATTTTATCAACTATAGAAGGAAATATTATAAAACCTCTTCCAAGTAACATTGATAGGAGCGAAAAAAAATTTGAATTAGCTAATCCTAAAACTGAAAATCCGAAAATAGTTATTCGAGAAAGTGCACAAAAAACACTTAAGACTACAATAGACATTAAAGAGAGTACAAATGCAGCAACATTAAGTATAGAAAAACCGGCGGATACGAAAATAGCATCTTCTTATTGCAAAAATAATTCATCAACTATAATAACAAAGTCAACAGATGTTACTAAATCACCAATTTCTCTTGACAAACTTTCTGTAGTTCAAATTCCTATTATAACAAATGAAGATATCAATATAACGTCTGAAAATAAAGTCACAACCATAAATAACCCTAAAAATATGCAAGACTGTGAATCATGTAGCGCTAATAATAATAAAACGAAAAAAGATACTAAAGACAAACCGTTACATGATTTTTCAAAATCTGAATCAAAAATACCCGTTTGGAGTAATGAAAATAAAAAAAATTATAAAAAGCAATCTGTTAATACTCCACCTTCCGAAAAGCAATTTTCACATTCAAGCAAAGATGTTATAGCAACTACCACAATGACAAGTAACACGAGTGTAAAATATCAGGAAAAGCCATCAAAACCTTCAAGTAGCGTTCCCGGTTATAAGCAATTACAGCGACAAAAAAAAGCAACTGTAGAAGATAATCCTGACCTAGACAGTACGATAAAACAAATTGATTGTAATTATTCCGATTCTAGCAATATTTCTACACAGTTCAGCAGTGCTAATATATCCGTTACAAGTGCTGCAAGCGTTTCCGAAAACAAATCTAAAGCTGAAAAATGCGACATTGTTAATACCTTTCCTATGAAACCTAGTACTACAGTATCATATACTAGCATTATACAAGAAATATCAAATCCACTTAATTCTGTGCCAAAATCAAAAAATATTATTAGTAGTGCCAAAACAACATTATCAGGACCAAAAAGTTTGGTTACCACTAACAACTATCCTCAACCTCTAGATAATATTACCAGATCAGATATTTCAAAATCTACTAGTGCAATAAAGCCTACGCTGAAGGAAACTTTTTTGGATGCAGAAAAACCTACAGAACCTCAAATAATAGTAACTTCAGTAAATTCAAAACTTTCATCTAACACAGGATTATCAAAAATATCATCACCAGTAAATTCTGAATTACAAGTCATATCAGGCATATGTAAAAGTAATAATACTACACTGCCTTCTGTAACGGCTCACATTTCTTCCAAAACATGCAATACTACAGGAGTTACCAACGATTTAGCAAATCAAGCGGGCACTCCACCATCGAGTTCGAAGACTTTAAGCACAAATTGCACCCGTTCCGTTGATTTGAAATCGTCAGCGACATCTGCAAAATCGCTTATATCAAATGATAAGAAAATTGAACCATTATTAAACGAACATAAAAAAGATAGTAGAGCTTAACATTTAGAGGTTAGAAAATGTAGGTAAGTAGATAAATAATGTATTCGATATTTTTTTTAAATGAACTTGTCAAAGTTCATTGAATTTAGTGGACAATACAGCACGTTTTAATTATATTTAAGAATCAAACGATGTTGAAATTAATTGAGTGTATAAGCACACATTATTTTCCAAATAGAAATGAAGACGTTTTAGATTATCCTAATATTTAGAAATTAAAAGTAGTTGTATTGAAAAATATAAGTAGCTATGCTCATGTGCTCACATATATTATTGATATACGAATTAAAACATCAGCATATTATGTTGAATAATTATGTGGTTTGCCCAGGGAAATAAATATAAGAAATTGATAGCACAATTTTTATGGGCTATTTTTATTCCAATAAGTTCATTACCACCGGCTTGATCCACTGGCTTTGCGAAGAAACGTTGTGCCTCAGTGCATTTTCTATCGCATATACCACAGGAAGTGCTCAGAGGAATTGTTTGGATTAATTTCAGTTGTTGAATTCCACTATCGTACACTACGACAAAACTCGAAATTCCATCCTCATCACCCGATGGTTAGCGGTCCACTACCTACCGTGTAATTTACTGCCTCGCTTTACCATACTGTATGAAACCATGCGATAATAGTGGAATTTACTGTCGCCAGCGGTTTATCCGAACCGATATGATTTAGGGACTTTCAGAAAAGAGCCTACTTTTTTCTAAAAGGCTGGAACGCAGCTGCATTTTCCCTGTTGTTGCAGATGTTCATGGGCGACGGTGACCACTTACCATCAGGTGAGCCGTACGCTGGTTTGCCTCCTCTTCCATAATAAAAAAAATTGAAAATATAAATTGATTGAAATTTGTAAATGGGTGAAATACTTAAATACCCTTTAAACTTATCATATAATAACAGGAAAGAATGCTAAAATCTTAGAGGAGGCAAGTGGTGCTAAGAAATGTTAATATATTTTTCATAGAAAATTTTATATTTTCAACTTTTCGATACCATTATAGAAAATATTATATTTTCAATTTTTCGATACCATTTAGAGATGACATAGTCCATCTCACACATTGTCAATTTATATTGTTATTTATAGTTTAACAAACGTATTAAATCTCTACCTATTCTGTTTTACTAATGTAATTCTGTTTAAATAATGAGAGAATATAATTAGATAACATGAATTAATATCAATATGATTGATAGCTCTAACTTTCAAATTCTTAAGTGTTGTCTATTTTTAATATGTAGTTTTGTATTTTGATTATTAATATTATCTTCAGGCGTCTTTAAAGTTTACTCCAAAATTTGTTACTGAGATGCGTATTACACTTTCACATACACACTCACACAAACAACTAATTTGTGACACGCAACACATTTGCGGGCTATCATCTAAGGTGTACCTCGCTCGGAGCCGGCTTGTCATCAGAGTCAGCCTTACGGAGTAAATGGCGCAAATTTGAGTCTCTGAAAGTTGACTATCTATTTGTGCGATTTTCTCTAGATGCTATCGGTCCGTTGTCAATCAAATCATCAATCAAAAAAAAAAAACAAGCAATCTTTCCCTATAAGGCAAGCTATCGGGGAAGCCTACGAGTATGTTCACTAGCAGACTTTCGATACGTTATATTGAGTGAATAAAACTTGAATGTACTAGTTTCATTCAATTCATTATTATATTTAAGTGTTTGGTGTTCTTATTTTCCCTTTAAAGAACATACTCTATGGTTCTTATAAATATCGTAAAGGCTTATGAAAACACTACAGTCATTTAAACTATCAGTAGTTATAAAAAAGGTTTGTTGTAAAAATAATAAAAACATATTTTTTCGAATAAGCAATTATGGTGGGTAATTGCTCATCATCCCTAAATATAAAGTAGGGCAAAGCTCAATCGTTTACATTAGATGTAATGTTACGTGTACGTCCATTCTATTAATCCGTCTGTTTTTTATTTTACAAACATTAACTTTCCCTATATAGCTACTGAAACATCGTTTACTGCTTAAACATTCATTCTAATTCCTCAACATTGTTATTATTATTTTTAAGTGGTATAGCCACACTGCACCTATACATAGCTGTAGAACGAATGAATCGGATCGATCAGGGTAGGACGACGCTCTCACTGAATATCAGCGAGAAATATTACAATAATGCCGCTGTATTTCGCATATTGGGTGTAGATAATCGGAGACCCTTTTTACCGGTAACTAAGCATTCCATCTTAGTCCTCAAGGGTAACAAAGCATTTGGATTTTGAAACTTATTCGATGATAGATGTAGATGTCTATGAGCCAAAGCATCCACTTACCATAAGGTGGACTATATGCTCGTTTGTCACCCTCATTAAAAAAAGCAAACAATGACTTTATTTACATAATTTTAAAATTTGAACTTCATTGCCGTTTCTTTCCTAACTAAATAAGTCATGTGATTCAATCCTTTAGAGTATTATGTAATTTAAAAGGAAATTAAAAAGTAAATGACTGATTTTTATCCTTAATTCTGAAAATGGTTGTTAAAACAACGTTTAAAAATACAGTTTCGTACAGTATTAACTTCTTAGTTTTATATCATTATAACTCCAATGATTTTTTAATAATCCGACCATGGAAAGCTAAGAATATCGTCATCGGACGGTTGTGATAGGTCGGTTGTGGTGGTTTGGAACGTTTGTTTTTACATTTCTTTCGCACCGACCGATTGGATATGATTAGTACAACAACTTATGTGCAAGACTAATGAAGAAGCAATTCTTAGATCCTACAAATATTTAGAGACACCGCAAACTGCAGACTTCCCATCGGGCGAGAGTTTAGTCGGTTTCAGTATTAAGATGTATACAAGTGCGCAAATTATAACGATTAGTTATCGGCCGATAAATCAGTTTGATGGGCTACACGATTCCCTTCCAACTAAGCTGTTGGTCAACTATCGGCCAACGGCAAAATCAGCATGGCGCTTTTCGACGTGTACATACACGCAGATTGTTTAGTCGGCCGATTTTCTCTTCTCGATCCGTCTCCGTCGTTGTATAATAGCAATAATAATAACATTTCTGGACAATATTTTAAGTCTCATTACGCGACTACTTTCTTCAAGAGCTGCTTTACTAACTACAATTTTTTCGCAAACGATCAGGCGACTATTGGCTAGTGTGCGCACTAGCAGCGCAACCCGACTTGACTCTCACTCTGTGTGTGGTGTCTCTCTTATGTATAAATTTACTTCCATCTAAAAAAATCTGAATCGATCTCGATAGCCTCCATCTCCTTGTAGTACTACTTTTAACATAAGGATATCATTAGGACAATTTTTATAACCTTTTGATAACAAATTTATCTCTTTATATGTTATGTGTTTTAGATTTTGAAATCTTTTTGATGATGTGTTTTAAAATTCGTACTTATTCTTTATTTTGGGGAAATGTCAAAAATAAATTATAGCGTACACGCTTCCTTTAAATTAAATCTAAAATATTGGCTGCGTTTGACAGAAAAAAGCGCTAGCAAGCGCTTGTAAGCAAAATGGCGATCGTAAGCGGTAAGCGCTGTCAAATCGTAAGTAGCTATTTTCCTCTAGGACACGAAGTTAGTTTTAACCGGGGAACCTAACCTAGTTTAAATATATGTTTGTAAAATATTCATATTAAAAACTTACCAATCATGAATTTTTAATAACATGTTTATGTCTATTCATGTCATTATATTACTTAAAACTAATATTGCACAAAACAACTTATAATTTCTACTTCAAAGCAAACAAATTAAATAAGCAAAATGGCGGATTGTGTCAGCGCTATTGAAGTAGCAATCGTGTCCTGGCCGAAAACTATTTTAGCGCTTGTAAGCGCTTGCTAGCGCTTTTTTCTGCCAAACGCACCCGATGACTTTCATATTTATATAAATGCATATTAATTTTCAAGTATAAATCCAATATCAAACTTCTTTTGATATGATAATAATAAAATTATAAAAAAATGTATAAACTAGCAATTACTTAGTCTGTTAAGGTTTATTTGGCGGTTATTGTCAATTATTTGTTATATTTGAATTTTATTGGCTAATAGCCAAATCCAATAAATACGCAAATTTCGTATATAAATAGATATTATTTTTTACTGTAGTGCAAATGATGTTGATTTATATAAAGCTGAATAAATTATCGATATATTACTCATAATGTGCTAAATGGTAAGATAAGGCATTTCATCTCATTCTTCAGGGATGGCACCACAAAGTAGTGTGTTTGTGTAGCTAGCTCTGTTGGGAATAGTGTTGGGCTTCGTTTTGATGTTTGATGACCTTTGGTTTCTATGTTTTGTCTAATTAAAGCAGTACCGATTATAAACCACTTGACTTTTTATACTAATATTTTGGTTTAGTTTTCCAAGTGTTAATAAAACGAAATAACTTAGGACACAGTTGTTGAGAGATTTCCACCGGTACGTTCCACGTTATTTGATTGCAGGTTTAAGAAAAAATGGCCAAAACATTTTTTCTCAAGTGGATTATGAGTGTTATCGTAATGTTTGATTATACTAATTATTAGAGATTTACAGATATATTAATTTAATAACGTTCCAGACTCTCATTTTTGTTTCTATAAACGAAATATAAATGGTGTATAATGATTTTTGTATTTGCAAAACAAAAATTAACTATTATCCAAAATCGTATTTGATAATACATAAAAACCTAACCTTTTGTATTTTTGTATAAAAAGTTGTTTGTACAGTTATTTTTTATTACAGTTTTTTATTAAAGTAAGTATACGGACTTTATTCATGATTTTGAATAGGTGGAGATAAATTGAAAAAATCTTTCTATTTACTTATTTTCCGATAGTATGTAATCTAAATATATTTTAACTGTTTGCTTCAGTAGGACTTGTATCAAATATATTTTAGGTATCTTTGTTCTAGATCTGAACATATCTGCAACCAAATGGTTAAATAAAAAGAAATTTGCATAGTCATAAAATTCAGACACAA